ATGCATTTTCAGTAGCAGTTTGGATGGGGGAGGGGAGGGATTTGGAGACAATATATGCATACCAAACTATTTAGCATCCCTTATATCATATTTCTGTTCCTGGGATTGTATGGTTACTTTTGTGTGATTTATTTTCTTCCAATCAGATTTCAGTTTTAGAGAAACTTTGGTAATAAATAAATACCTGTAAATACAGCTGGTAACAGGCCTGATAACCTGGCTTATCAAAATGAAAATGAGGACAATTCTCACTTGAGGTCAGCTTTTACGATTCAGGTTGATTTTGTCTTACAGTGTAATAGTACAAGTTAGTCTTTATTTCAGAGATTAAACAACTGTACATATGATTTTCTGGAAATAAATATGGCACTGGAAACATTTCAGTATCTATTTGTAAGCAATTTCGTAAGCAACAATATACTGAGATCATTATCAGTATGGAACATCTTTGTGCTTCTGCATTATACTCATGGGTGCATCAGTAGGTGTGGTAAGACAAGTTTGATCCAAAATAGCATGACTTCTAAGCTAATTCATACAATATCTTACTAGCTTTTTTCCCAGCTAATAACCTGTTTTGACTGCCTATTATAGTCCGTACTAATGGCTTTCAACTGAGAGTTTTCCTGTGTCATAACACATTTTAAAGAGTCAACGTCTAATATGCATATTGCAGGTAACTTTTTGAATCAACAACGCTTTGTTGATGATGATGATAGCTTTGGATGCATTTAATAATGATGACACGGTATCACTTCATGCTACAGCTATATTTTCCAGTCATACAAAAGGCTGAATTTGTCTCTTCACGGTAATTGAAATTAATCTAAATGGAATGATAAAAAAAATCCATAGGTATGATCTTCCTGTGGCTAGAACATAATATTCATTTTGCATTGTGGTGTATCAACTTTGTTCTGAAAATTTCCTTTGTGTATCTCAAATGGGAAAAAATATCTAAAAATTGGAACAATTTGTTTAGAAAGAGTATCACTATTTATTTGCTGTTGCGCAAATGATTCCTTTCTCTGAATGGGCTGTTTTATTGTTGATATATTTAAAAGTGTGCTTCCAAAAATAAATATGGACTCTTTATCAGGCAAAACCAATCTGTGTGTGTGATTGGTGCAGGTGTTTTGAACCAGAATGGAACCTTCAGTTCTGAAATTCATAATGCAGTATAGTTGGGTATTTATAGAAAAATAGTTGACTTTGAAGGAAAATAATAATAGAGTTGAATTAATTTTTATGTAGAGAAGCATGGCTACTTTGTTTTGAAATTACAGCATTTGAAATTTATTTAATTCTTATTGCACATGTAAAATAAAGATCCATTACAAACTAGACAGTAAAAGTATAGCAAAAACATGGCTTCATACAGTAGCAAAATAATACATTAGTTTTAGATAAGGGCTTGTTATTATAGTGAATAAAATCATATTAAGGATGGTTACCTATCAGGTAGAAAGCTTATCAGTCTATCCACCAGCAAGCAGAATACCCATGTTAGAAACTATGCACGCTTTCTTATTTCTCATCTTACTTATGCTAGACTTGTGCATTTTTTTTAGAAATTTGAAATTATGCAGCACCAGTACTTTAAGGAATTAATTCCTTAAAGTTAATTTGACTCTTAATCAGTAGACCAATTTGTTAGGCTCATGCCAAAACATGAAGAAAGTTAGTTCACAATAGCAAATAGCAAAAAGATGCTCACTTGAGATCAAAATTTTCCTTTTTCCAAATCACTTTGGAGCATTCGCAGTCCTATTTTGCAGGTATCTTGCTTTAGGGTGGTGGTATTAATAATGATAAAATGTTACATCACTTTGACATCACTTTTTCTTCTTTTCTCTTAACATTCCTCTAAATCAGTGTTTCTCAACCTTGACAATTTTAAGGCATGTGGACTTCAACTCCCAGAATTCCACAGCCAGCATCGCTGGCTGTGGAATTCTGGGAGTTGAAGTCCACATGTCTTAAAATTGTCAAGGTTGAGAAACATTGCTCTAAATGGGCAATCTTCCTGTATGTCACAATTTTGAGTCATTGTCATTAAAATCCCAAAAGGAATTAATAATGTGTGTACGTATCAACAGTAGTTGATACACTACTGTTATGCACAGTGTGGTATACATTTGTATAGAACTATAACATATTTTGTAGTGCTTTCTCAATATTTCAAAGGAGTAAAGTTATTCTGAGAAATAAGGCTTTTCCTCTTGTGAATATTACATTATGCTAAAAATTTGTTTAACAAAAACTCCTGTTTTTTAAAATTGGAGAATTGACAAACTCCTTTGTGTTTCAAAATTAGAAATGGCATTAGTGGGTGAAAGCTAACTAGATTATTAAAATTCATAGCAAACTACTTGCTTTATGGTAGATATACTTTAAGACTGAATAGGAAAATTCAGTGTAATAAAGAATTGGGAGTTCCACATGTTCAGCGGCAATTATATGTTCCTTCTCAGAACATGTTGGCAAAAATCTTACCCTAGCTTTCTTGATCAAGTGTGCTATTTTTTTAATTTTGTGTATCGTTTTAAAAGAAAAGTACTATGATAATAACCATGTAATAACATGACAAAGGATTTAATTTGAGCAGCAGTGCAAGTGGCACACAGGAGAGAATACTGAATACAAAGGATTTTATTACATATACTTACGTATATTCATGGCTAGGATTACAGAAATTCACTAAAACTTACACTCTGCTATAGTGGTTGTTTTTTGCATTCTTACTGAATTTCTTTTCATTTTATATCCTATTGTGTCACATAATCTTCACATAGCTTACTTTCTGCTGTGTTCTTTCCCTTCCACCCATCCTCCTTGTTATTAAACTATTTTCAACCATTTCTGTTGGCGCTGAACTGATTAACAAAAATTGTGAGAAATAATTTAACTTAGATTAATAATCATAAATATTTTTGCAGAAAGAAAAATGGCTTAGAGATAACAGAGCTCCTTTGTTGGGGGAAACAATTAAAATAACGTATTTATCAACAATTGTTGCTACAAATCAGGTCTAGTTTTCTCACTTTAGTGTTATAAATTTTTTATCTGACCACCATGTCCAGAAAGTCCAGTGTTTGATATTATATTAAATTCCAGATATGTGCAAATCACATAGGCATATTTAACATGCAGTCATTGATAATACTATTGAAGCCAAACCAAAATGTGATACTAATAAGACTAAAAACTGAACTGTATGAACTGATGTTCTTCTAACCTCTAAAATACGGCTCCAATATCAAGAAACCCAATTTCACATTGGTTAAAAATTGACCTCTCTTGTTTTATCATGAAAAGACATTCCAGTTCATTATTCCAGAGACTGCATACATAACTAATATTAGCTTTCTTCAGCTTCTTATAAATAGGGACAATAGCTCTGGAAGCAGTTATAAAACAAATAGCAAATGCCCAAGTAACTACTGAAAAAATACATTGAAGTAAATCACATCTTTTTAATTCTGAAAGTTTTAAAAATGGCTTCCTTGCAGTGAAGTAATTATGAGATATCCAGTTTGCAAAAACAAAAAAGCCCCACCACCAGATTTAAATGCTATTTTTATGCTGGGATTATCCCATAGTGTAAGTGTTTATAGGTACATGTATCAAAATCAGTTCTGCAATAATGCACTTTTTGCTAGATTGGGAAAAGCTGTCTGTAATGAAAGTAGTTGTTAAAAAATCTCAATACCCACTTTATCAAGAAAAATGATTTATAATTAGATCATAGAGTGGAATCTTTGCCCGCCATAAGAACATTCATCATATTAATTCATTAAAGCTGACAGACAAGGGTATATATATATATATTTAAAAGTTTCACCTAAAAGTTCTAGTAAAAGCAGATTAGAAAACCAGCAACTTCCTCAATTTCATAGCTCTAATTGCAGAAACAATTTTTTGGAGCAAAAGAAGTAGAGCAATATCAATAAATTGGTCCTGTGTTGAATATGTCATTCTCACTTTAAAAGGAAACAAATGGTTTATTTTTGACAAAGAATTACTAATCATGTAGTTAATAAAAAATGTTGATTAATAAATTTGGAACTTATACATATTCCAATTTATATTCCACAAGTATTTGTCAGGGGCAAACAACCAGACCTAAAGGTGAAGAGTATAAATTGGCTACTTTTATTGTTTTGTTTATTGCCTATTTCACAGGAATCTTCCCAGCCTGGCAGTTTGCCCCATTATTTAGTTGCCCGAACTTGATAAGGTTCATTGGCATTGAAATGTCAGACCTTGCCTTGTTGTGTCTACTAATAATTCCAGACTAATCCTCCACTTGACCCATTCTCCTGATTGGGATAGTCTCTCTCCCGACAAGATTTCACAGTATTGTTGTGTTTAATTTGCCATATCAGCTTCTAGGTTATAAAGTAGCTAATTTTCAGAAATATGAACTGGGTAAGTTTTATGTGAAATTAATAGTGCTTGTGTTCTGTGGTCAAGTGAGTGCAATGGGAGGGATGAAGAAGGTTAAATAAAAGAAACAGTGATAATGAAGTTGCCTAGGAAAATCTATAGCACAAAGATATTAACCTGTATTTATTAAGGGGAATTGTGTTTCTGTTTAATGGGAAAATATTCATGCAGAAAAACCTGCATGTCATTCATTAGAATTACAAAGATCATGGACTGTGAGGACTGAACTCTTTTCCATTAGAATTATTGTGCTATTAGCATATTGTGCTAAGCTGAGCATAGTCTATGAGCCAGTTTGTCATGAAGTTGAATAAAAAAGTCATATCACTCTGTTGTGCTTTTAAGGCCCTCGGTTTCTTCTGTTCTTTTCACTAATCATCGAGGCAGAGAATACATTTCAGTGAATTTGTATTTTACACATGGTAATGATTACTGAATGGTATATATTCTTAAAAATATTTTCTAACTTTTTTCAGGGCCTTAAAGTTTGAATGAATGGTGAAGGAACTCATGAATGTTTCAATGCATCTATTTGTTTTATGACAGAGAGACTCCATGAAAGATGACAGAAGAAGTTATTGTTATAGCGAAGTGGGATTATACTGCCCAACAGGACCAAGAACTTGACATAAAAAAGAATGAACGCCTCTGGCTGCTGGATGATTCCAAGACATGGTGGAGAGTAAGAAATGCAGCCAACAAAACAGGATATGTGCCATCAAATTATGTGGAGAGAAAGAACAGCTTAAAGAAAGGCTCCTTGGTTAAAAATCTGAAAGACACATTGGGTAAGTCCTTGTTAAAAATCTGAAAGACACATTGGGTAAGTCCTTATCTAAACCCTGAGTTAATTTTACAAAAGTTTTATACAAATGTCTAGTGTCATAATAAGGATTTGTTTTATTAAAATAGTATAGGTATAGTTTCTGTTAATTCAGAATATAGATAGAAGATGATTTCAATTTGCAAATAGGTTTTTTTTTTTGTAAAGAAAAAACAAAACCCTTTTTTATTCTTTCCTAATGGGAAGTGATCATTGCCTCACTGAAAATCAGAAATTGGGGCTTTTGCTTTTAAATGTATTCTAACATTCTCTGTTATGAAGATATCAGTGTTTTGTATGCTTTTATTTTATTTATCTATTTACCCTGACATTTGCAAGTTGCCTTCTCCATGGATTAATTACATTTGAAACTTAAGGTAGCCATCTATTACTTTGAGTTGGTGTCTCTGGTTCAGTGGCACCTTCTGCCCCAATGGCTTGTGGAAATGCAGTCTCACTATATTTGCTGGGGGGGTATCCTAACCTTGGGGTGAACAGACTATTCCTGAACAAGGACGCTTCTATGGAGTAGGCTTATTTCTAAGAACTTATTTCTAAGTTCTTCCCATTTAAAATCTTGAAAGGAACAATTCTTGTCTAGGACAAAGTGAGCAATAAGATTCTACCTGGATGAGATGGTCCTGAAAAAGCCATAAAAGCCATAAAAGTTTTCAGCACTATTGGGACTTGGATCTGGGAGCCAACAGGCAACCGATGCTGCTCTTGCATGGTATTCTGCTGTATTGATTGTGACTGATCAGCAAATAGGCAGTTCCATTTTGAACCAGATATTAGCCAGACTCTCATGGCCTAGAAAAGAGTGCAGTTAGTCCCCAGTCATGCATTCCTTAGGGATGGGAATTGTGATCAAGTAATATTTTATGTAATACACTTTACAATGCATATATATTGTTAGTTGAAAAAAACTGGGATAATCTTATAACTTAAATTTAACACTTAAATAAGTAACAATGTATTGTTAATAAAACATTATTTCTCCATCTAGCATAACTCAAGCTGTTTTCTGACATCATTTTTCTTTGTTTTCATGTCTCCTACTTCACATAATTGGCTCTTATTGATAGAATGAAATAACAGACAGAGACAGAGGAATGACAAGAGTAATTGTTTTAAGAATAATTAAGCAATACCATAGAGAAGAAACTCAACAAGCATTAGTTTCTGACTTTCCAGAGCCTCATTTTACTAAAGGCCTACATAGTCTGCTATATACAGCATAATTGATCAGCTTTCACCCAGCTTTAATGCTTCAGATTTGGCTCTGGAGCTTATGTAGCAGGCTGGTTGGGCCTCATCAGGCTATATCTTATTGGGGAATCAACCCTAAAACCCTGTACTACATTTAACCTTCCTTCCTTCCTTTCTCCCTCCCTCCCTCTCTCCCTCTCTCTCTCTCTCTCTCTCTCTTATTTTATTGGCCACCCATCTTACCCCAGGCTAACTCTTATCTAAGTTAACAATCAATATGGCCAGTCATCTCACTGCTGTGATTCTAGGTGGCAAACAGAACATTAAAAACACAACTCAGTTACCAAGACTATCAATAGAACATCTACTTAACATCTAAAACATTCAGAATTTACTATCAGTAAAAACAACCAAATGAAACAATTAATGGAGTTTGCTTAATATCCTGGCCCAAATGCTGTGTGGAACACCTGTGTCTTTAAACCTGGGGGGATATGTTATTACACCTGGTCAGGAGCAGAGAAGGCACAACAACATAAGATGACATGTTTAATAGAGAGGACCTGGAGCATGCTCACTCAGTTCTGATGAGGTGAATAGAAATAATTGGTACATTCTTAGTCTTATACTTAACTATTAGTCTTACGTAGAGTTAAATCAATAAGGATTGTGGCCATCTGAAGCTTGATGCTCAAACTCTTTCTATAGTGGTTCAGTGGCCTAATGTTAATATTGTTCTGTGTGAAGACAAAGGTAGATATCCATTTTTGTAAGGCAAAGCAAAGGATTCAGAGTAACTGATATAGTTAGTTCCCTCTTTATCACTTGCAAGAGTGAATCAGTTTAGTTTTGCCTATAAAAATGGCCTAGCCATGGAATAGGATTCTTGACTGTTTCAAAATGCTTATCAACAAGTTATTAGAATCTGGTGAAAACATGTGTAGATATACAGACAAATGTGAATTTGCGTTAAACTAAAGATTTGTTCATAATTTGTTTAAAATATCCTACAGATTCAAGGTTTTAGAGTACACAGATAACTCAGTATTTTAGGACTGCCAGTAAGATCTCAGACATTATGATAATATGAATGATTTTATGTTTTGGCCATTTAAATGTGCTTCAAAAGTTAAACATGAACATTAAGTCCCTTCTTTCCTTATTATTTTATTACTAATTATCAGTAATATGATGCTTTTGACAATAATATTATGCCTTTGCCAAAGAAACATGTGGATTATCATGTTAAAAGACTGCAATTTCCATGCTTTTTCGTGGTAATTGTAAACCATTCAAAGCTTATTCACATCATGCTGAACACAGATTGTTGTTTATCATTAAAAAACTGATTTAAGTACATAAGTACAAATGGATTAAAAGCCATAGTTTCATACTGGTGTGAGGGTGCCACTAAGTTGTGCTCATAACTTTTAAATTTTAAAAAATTTAAAATTTTAATTTTTGTATAATTTGGGACCAGAATTTTCCTTGATACTTGAGATATCAGATTAGAATCTGCTTTAAAACAGATAGTTTGAAACTTAGTTTTTGGAGCCTCTGAATTGTAAAAACAAAAAAATTTAGACAAAGTCAGTGTGTTCATGAAGTGGCCAGTATTTTATTTGCTGCATTTGAGTTAGAATACCAAAAATTCTCTCTAGGTTCAGCTTTCAATTAACAATCATTAAGTGCCATGCCAATTTTGAAATCATGAGGGCAAAAATGTCAGTGCTTCTGTAAATTGCAAATAAAAGAAATCCCTTTTTTCTTTAGAAGTGTTTTGGCAAAACCTACTGGCCAAGGTTTTGCCAAAAAATAGACATAAATCTACCAAATAAAGGTATTATCAGATTTTGTTACTAAATATTGCTGTAAAATCTTTGCTTTTAAAAAAAGAATAATTGTTTTGTATATTTGATCTAATATAGTTTGATAATTGTTTTAATGCCTGATGTTACCAATGTCAGTAGCATAAACAGTCTTGTCTTGCAGTTTTCCATTTGTTTGAAGTGAAAGACATTATATGAGTATTGAGTGTGGCTTGCTTTTTCCTTTTCCACTTAACTTCCTGTTTATTTTAAAAGCTTGATTGAAACTGTCAGCTATTTCCTTTTCTGAGGCAATACAGCTTGTTAGCTGTATCAGTGCTTTACATTTTACCCCTCCCCATTTCACCACTGAAAGGAAATGAAACATTTGTTTAGGAACTGGCTTTGTCTGCCCGCCTTAATTTTGGTATTTCTCTGAAACCTGCTTTAACGTCCTTAATTATATAGCACCTTAATCTTTTCCTGAAGGCTTTGGTTTACATATAGTTGTATCTAGAATTAATATGACTTTTGCAAATTAAAACAATTATCACAGTTTTTCTCATCAGGGAATTACATTTATAAGAATTTTCATCCTTTGGCCATGCAATGTATGTCTCTGGAAGTTGAAGTCTCAGTATGTCTGGACCTTCTTTAAGTTGAGGAGATGGAATATAGTTGAGAGATTTTGCTGTAGCCCTCATATTTTTTACATCCGCTTCACTTTCATTCTTTGAATCTTATTCAGATATCTGGAACTGGAAGTAGAAATTATGTAGAATTCTTTTTTAACTCAGCTGATTTGCCAAGTGTAAACCTATTGCTGGACATTGGTGCTGAACTCAATGGTTGACTCACATAACATTACAGCTTTGAGCTATAATTTGATCTAATCGGGCGGGGTCAGTCTGGCAAGTCAACCAAATAATCAGACTTATTCAGCAGATTCCTGGCTTTTCCATTTCTTTTTTTTGGAAATCATAACAATTGACAGGGCACAAACAATATCAGCACAGTAAGGCTAAGATTCTAGATCCAGACATGGTGATCATATGGTTTAAAATAAAGCAAGATTTGTAAACCAGCACCAAATTGCAGCTTCAGTTACAGTGTCATTTGTTGCTAAAATTAATCATGGTTTCTTTCTTAGCAAAGGTGCACATATTGTGCAGATCCTTGAAACAAAAGCCAAATTATAGCTTATTAGCATCACATGCAAATTATACCAGTAACTGATATATCCAATAATGATTTGCAGGTACAGTTTTATTTCTAATGGCTACACTCTCAAGGTGACTGAAGGAAGCTAAAAGTGTTTGTCCTTTTATACGATTCTAGTATCTTTTCATGGAGCTTATTCATACATTAAACTGGAAATCATAGGCATATGTACTGGTGTGAATAAGTTCTTATGTTGTTTTCTACTCCCTCCCTAAAATGAAACAAAATGAAACACAAAAGCCTGGCAATGACTGCATATCAAATCATTTTGAAAATGAAATGATGTTGGAACAATGTCTGCCTGCCACTGTAACAGAACTGGTTCACTTGAAATTTTAGACCCCCAAATATTTAAATACGATTGTATTGTGTAAGTGCAAATGTCAAATATGTCCTATCTCACTGAGGCTTACCACACTTCTAGAAATGAACTTAATATAATAAAGCAACCAAAAACACCTCTATTATTCATTCATTTGTGTATTTAAATTTATTGGCCTTCCTACTTTAGTGGGCTCTGGGCAGCATGCAAAATTAGAAAAAACGGAAATAGCTGAAAACGTTGAATTAAACAGACAGCCCAGATTAAAATAATCTAATAGACAGCAAAAACAACAAAACAGGGGTCATTCTGGGGGTAGTGGAAATGCTTCAATTAGAATTACAAAATGACAAAAATTAAGTATTCAGTCCTGCACCAAATGAGGAGAAGGTACAGGAAGAGTAT